GCGGGCGCCGCAGCTGCTGCCCCTTGCAGCCCTCCCGCTCGCACGGCCTCCTCTCCGCAGAGCCGCCCCGGCTCCCCGCTCGACGCGTCCCCGCGGCAGACGGCACCTTCAACACGGCGATGACCTAACCATAACCGAGACAAACAGGAAGTACACAACCTCAACTTAAATAACGCACGAGAAAGAAAAATTAAGATTTGCTCATTCCAAAAGACTTCCACTTTCATGTTTTAATCTCTCCTCATTTGCATCACTAACATGCCCTTTACGAAAGCATCCAAAAAAACCCAAATTCTCTGAAAAAAGTAGGTGTTAAAAAGCAGGTGTTACAAACAAGTTCCAAGAAAATCTGATTCATAATTTCTTCAAAGCTTCATTTATTTTCCTGACCGATTCTTATAAATTCATTTTGAAGTCACTCCTTTAGTATCAAACAGCTACTTCCTGCAAGCACCAGAGAACTGAAGAGGACAAAAAGCAAACTCCTGGCTCAGTTGCCAGAATGATTACAAGGATATGCTCATACTTCTCCAATTTCCCTCCAAATACAAATGCACGAGGTTTGCCCTCAAGGATAGGAAACTGGCATTTCATGTTTAAACGCAGCCTTGGAGATGTTCAGGCTGCAGTCAGAGAGCTGCCTGGGGAAGGGAAATGCCTCCTCGCTGCTTCCAACCAGCACAGCCAGCCAGGCTGGACAAGGACTAGTCTAACACCACGGAAAACGGAAGAAAGGACAGAAAAGTGACCCAAGAAGCAGGATATCTAGGCTTTCTTATCACCAACTATGGAGAAACTTTCCAATTATTAGTATTACTATTTTGTGTGTCTGATCAGAGGAAAGAGCTCTTCTATGGAGCTAATCCAGTGCAACAGGCAAGTCTGTAAGCTTGCAAAGACCAATAATTTCCAGGGCTCTACAACTCTCCCCGAGATCCTTTGGGTCGCTGCAAAACAAAGGCAAGTCTCAGCTTGCAATAACACATCTGTGCATTTGTGTCTCTGCTGTTGCACAGATTAGGTTGGTGGAAAAATCTAACAAATGGCCCAGGCTCCATTAAACCATCTCATTGCTAAAGGAACTCGAGCAGCATTCATGCTTCTTTTGGCTACTGGAACAGGCAGTTATGAAACAGCACCATGACTTCAGTGAAGGCACAGACTGAATTTCTAAAATTGAAAATTTCTGAATTTATAAAAAGCAGGAGCATCCCTCCATTTCCAGCAGGTCTGGCTGAAAGTCTAGCAGCTGGCTTGTTCTCCTCAACATACAGGTCTTAACCATCTATCCACTTTTCCAACTTCGTTATCTCACGATTTGCGATGCGATGCAGCAGGTTCCACTGCTCAGTCCTCATCACATATTTCAAAACGCAGCCTGTGTGCCAGTCAGAAACCCTTGACCCAGCTGCAGCCACAGCAGGAGCCGTGTTGTGGCTGCTAAGGCACTACTCTGAGGGCAGGCATGAGCTAGCAGGTTTTGGATTTTCAGCTCTCCACCACCAGACAGAGCCCACTGAAGACACCGCTTTCCTACTGGCAGTGGTGTGTAGTGTAGGACACTCTACACTTCACACATTCCTTCCCCCCAAGGCTTGCCCCAGGAGCACAGCTCAGCAGCACTGATATCACCAGTTCTCCTCTCCTCCCCAGTCTGCAGTGGTGCATTTCAGTCAGACTAGATCATGTACTTCAGCTACACCTCATTCAACACCGTGGATATCTAGTGCAGGAAGAAGTAGAAGCCTTAAATGTTACTTTCCTCTTACCAGGATGTAAACACATGGCATATAATTTCTACAGCAATTATTCATATACCCAGGTCAGCATTTACATTTTCAGTCACTGAAAGACTGAAATCTTCCTTCCTTGCCTCCTTTTCCTCTTTTTCAAAACCCTAACAAGTCAACCCATGTACACCCCTAACTACGAGCCTTGCACAGGTTGAGGGTTACTACTGGATGGACAGCTCCAGTACCTTGAAGGATTATTGTCTTACCTTATTGCCTTTGAAGGATTATTGCAGCTTATTTTATACAACATTTTATATATATATATATATATATATATGTATGTATGTATGTAATACTTTAACCATTTTTTATATCTTGTCTCATTCAACTGACAACAGCCAAGGGATTCAAAACAGTTTTAGGGATAAACCACAGAAGTTTAGCTTTACAGTAAAAACAACAAAACTAACACTCCCACTGCTGGATCATACTGCTGTGAAGAATGAGGTCAGTTATCCCAACTTACAGTTGTATAAAACTGCTTTCATAACCGCAAAAAAAAAAAAAAAGAAGTGTTTTAAGTTGGTTCCCTTAACTTCCATACTGAATGCTTATACCTATGTACACAGCACTACGACAGCTTTCAGCACAGGAGTTCTGCAGTTATGATCCTGGCAAAAGCAAAAACTGAATTGTAAAAACCTGTAAAGAAAAAAAAATGAAGTGTTTTAACTTATATTTAGCTCTCATTTTAACAGCTTGCAACGCATCAGATTGCACAGGATTGTAGAACCAAAAAAAAATGACACTTGAAAGAATTGGAGAATTTTAGGCAAAAGCCTAAGTTTGTAGCTCATTTGCTCAATAATGAAAACTAAAAATTGTTCTTCACAGCAGTTCTCAAAGAGGAATCTGAAAAAATGCAGCATACTTCCTGAAACTGATAGACATCCTTTGCACATCACGCACAAAACACCTGAGGGCAAGCCATAACCTTAGTTACTTAAGCAGCAGGTGAAGATGAAGCTTAATAACACTAGTTTTTGGTATGCTGTGCTATGCTGAAAGGCATTAATAGCTGGTATCAGCAAAGGGAGACAGAAAGGATTAAAACCTACATACATCCCAGCACCACTCTTCAAACTTGGAAAATGAGTCTTTCAAGACCCAATATTCCTGGAAGACAGCTGCACTGTGATGCCGGACCTCAGCAAAAAGGAGTTTAAATTTAAGGCCTGATAAACATATTAGTGCTACAGGGTGCATGGCAAAGGTAACTCATGGTGCAGTAGGACCCCAGGGAACATAGTGAAGAAACACACCCATTCTCCAGTTATGTTGATATACGTGAGGGACAGAAACACAGGACCTCAGTATTTACGTGCTTGCACCCAAGGGCCATGCTCTTCAGCCCTCTACACCTCCATGCAACCACAAGAAGGGGCGGCTCGCCGGACCCAGCGACTCGCTCGTGCACCAGGACTATCCCTCACAGTCGTATCCATCACCTGGCCAGGTGAATCCGAACAGGGAAAGGACCCCTCCTGTCACTGGCTTGACTCGGATTAGAGGCCCATTTGGGGCCCTCAGATCATATACTGTTTTCAACTGCCCTAATATACTCCAATAAAACATAGGAATGACACAAATCACGAGTGTTTAAACAGCAGAAAGGTAATCACTGCAGAAAACTCACCCACTTCACTGTTTTTCATGTAAACCAGAGTTGCTGGGAAAGCACGAGTCGGAACTGACCTGACAGACAGAGGCACTGGAGAGCCTCGGTGTGCTCCAGGGCCTGCAGGAACTCGGCCAGCTCCAGCACGGTGCAGCCCCGCTCGCCCAGCAGCTTCAGGAGGCTCCAGCTTGGGCTTCCCTCTGGCTCCAGAACTTTGAGGGAACACTGCTCTAAATCCAGAGAGCTGCAAAACAGCACAACAAGGTCGGGGCACAGGCCCTTTTAAGGCATTTTTCCTCACAAAGGAGCTGGGTTGAAAACAGTTTGATATGTTTTATATTCTATTTCTACAACAGCTTTTCTATATACAGATATGAGAAACTGTGTGTGTGCACATGTGCGCAGTGGGAAATTCCTAGTTAATTTGGGAATACCTGCAGTACTTCTTCCAAGTCCTAGAAGTCCAGAGGTCTAGGAGTCCAGAGGTTCACAGAAGCACCATGTTTACGTATTATCACTAAAAAGGTTGATGAACTTTTCTTTAACACCAAGGCCACACCATGCTGGAAGCAAGATGTGTTCCCTTACCTAGGGCCAAGCAGACCTTGGCATACCCCCAGATTTGATAGTGTTTTACTGGATGATACAGAGAAGGAAACGCAGTCACGGGCCTTCAAAAGGGTCGTATCACATGCCCAGAGTGAAGCTCTCTGTATTACCAAACACAGCCCCTATAGCGCGCTCGTACCCTGAGAGCAGACAGCCAGGGCCGCCCCTGGAACGCGGGATTGGCGGTG